ACAATCTGCATTGGAAACGAACCATAAAAGGAGATGAAACTACTGAAAGACCACCGACAAATCACAAATCAGAGTCAAGCGACGTGAGAAAACTATCCACGAGCTCAAAACGAGTATCCAAATCAATCTGAGGGTCTAAAGCAGGGAAAATCATCATGATAACAAATAAGTGTCATCTTGATCAGTTGTGACGATGTCAAATTCAACCCTGAGGAAAAAGATAAATGAAAACAACGACAAAAAATCGTAAGCTATCAAAAGACAAAGAATGTGTCACAAAGTCAGCGATAAACATGTCACAAAGACAGAGAACATCTCATAAATATATAATTATTCTTATTAAAAACTTAAAAAAAACAAAGAAAAAAAGATAATCGACAGGTGACAACCAACATCAAAACCAGTATCGCCGCCAGTTAAACAAAATTAAAGAAAGAAGTTGAATTGATCAATAAAATTGAATTAAGTTATAAAGAAACAAAAGAAGAAAGGAAGAGGAAGAAAGTTATATATCGAAATACACTATTAATGTCGTTTACCGACTTACACTATTAAATAAAATAATAAAATTTTCAAAAACCTATATGTGATTAATTATTTATAAAATTAATTTTAATTTTAATATAAATAAATTAAAATAATGATTTTTATTAAAAAAATATAAATAATATATAACTTCAATTTTGCCTTTTAATTCAAACTATAAATCATTATTAAAGTATAGTCCTAATTTTGTTTGTAATTAGAAAGAGTTATAAAAGTAACAAATTAGGACACATTTCATTTTTTTATTAGTACGTGTAATTATAAGATAATATATGTTTAAAATATTCATTGACTATCACCGTAAATATACCCTACAGACGTACTCAAACCCGAAACATTTAAGGAGAATAACCCTGCCTTTAAACGTATGAGATGGCTCGATGGATCAAAGCGAACAAAATGTATTATATAATCATTGCAATCAATAGTTCGATCTAATCTTGTACCACTCAAAGCAGCAGATCCATACTCATTTAAGAGATTTTATTACACAAATAACATCACAAAAAGGAACTTCTATTCTTTTTCTCTTGAATGGCTCCTATAATGCATTATCTTCAATCATAAATACATGAATCCATGCATACCGAACCTTAATCCCCCCGCCGTTGAACATGTGGGTTGGCATCGAGAAGGGTTTCCAATGATCTGGCTTTCCGGCTCCGAACTCGGCCCGCTTCTTTTAATAATTCAGCTAACCTTTCCCTCTCGTCGCAAACCTCCGGGTTCGCAGTCCCGAGCTTCTCCTCTCTCGTCACGACGACGTACTCCAGTATTTCAATTGCATCATCCAACCTGCGTGCGACAGTCGGCGTAACGAAATTAAAAATCAGCATCCGGATGAGATCGAGAGGAAAGGAAGAGAAGAATATTTGTACCTGCCACTTGCATCATAAGTGCCTGCAAGGTTACTATATACCCCCAGCGTATCGGGGTGATATGGTCCGCACTCTTGCTCCAATATTGTTTTGGCTTCTTCGAACAAATCAACCGCCTCGTGTATGAGATAGCGTTGCACGCAAACTAACCCCATTTGATTGAGAACGATGCCAAAGAAGGCAGATTTCCTCTTTCCACATGCACGTAGCTTAGAAATGGCACTTTTGAAGGAGTTGTAAGATTCTGGGTAGTTCCCCAGCATGTAATACATTACTCCCATCTGTGCTTCGATCCCGGTGATTGTGCTTTGCTGACCAGGGGCGTCATTGTATAGTTTTAAGGCCTTGTGTAGCAACTTGATTGCCTGATCAAGTTTATTCATTGATTCATAGATAACAGAAACATCGGTGAGGCCACTTGCGATTTCCTCTGGAGGGATCCCAGGTATGGGCTTTTCATAGATTCGGAGAGCATTATCGCAGTATGATTTTGATTCCTTTAGTTTCCCTGTCTTGTTATACAAATCAGCCAACCGGACAAAGACTGATCCAACAGCAGGGTGGTTCTCCCCTTTGGCAGTCTTAAAAGCTGTGAGAGCTTTCTCATATGCAAAAACAGCCTCGTCGTATCGAGACAAAGATAAGTACGTGTCTCCGATGCTGCAGTCAACAGAAGCCACGTCTGCCTCCTGGCCGTTTGCCACCATGGTCATACTGGCTAAAACAAGATGCTCCAAAGCAGCTTCATGGTCTCCCTTTGTTTCACATATGAGACCCATGAGCCTCCTATCTACTGCCTCTTCGAGAAGAGCCGGAGAACCATTTTCTCTGTGAATGTCAAGAGCCATTTGGCATAGCCTCTGAGCTTCATCGAATTGCAACGCCTGGACATAAGCTTCAGCCAAATACCTGCAGGTCTCGCCGACTCTGGGATCTACTTCTCCAAGGACTTGTTTCTGGACTTCGAGGCCAGTGGTATAACAACTGATGGCTTTCTCGAGCTGTCCTAACATTGCATACGTGTCGCCCAACTGCATATAACCAGCAAATTTAGCGAGAGCATGCTCTTGGCCTTCCTCGATCACTGGAATCTCGATCGATTGCTCGAGAAGAGGAACCGCCTCATTGTACTGGCCTAAACTGCAATATATTGCTGCAGTAACATGCAAACACATGACCAGTTCTAAGCTGGGTTTCTCGATGGCACAAAGTTCATATGATTTTGCAGCTCGAAGTGCTAATTCAAGAGCTTTCAAGGGATTCTCTCCTACAGAAACCAAATCTCTGGCTTGCTTGAGTAACAATGGTCCGATATCAGGATTACCTAACCATGACTCGGAAGCATCCTCGATCCCATTTTGCAAATTTGACACTTTCCCTTTCTTCATGGATGCAACTCCCGTGTTTGATCTCTTTGGATTCTTATTGTTCGGCTTATTGATTTTAGGTTTCTCAGGTGGACTTTTTCCCTTAAAACCGGTTTTCGTTGATGCTCCAGAGTCCAACTGCGATTGAGATTCTTTCTTGACATGATCTGAAGTAATTGAATTTGCACTTGCAGATAGGGTCTTGTACAACTGCCCCGACTTCTTACCACTAGACGAGCCTCCCTTCTTCGAAGAAGAATTACTACGACTGTCATCTTCGGGTTTATCCAAATCCTCTTGCATTATCTCAACTTCTCTCCTCTCTAATCCAACAAGATGGCCCAATTCGGAATCAATCCTAGACTCCTCACCGTACGATTCAAAGCTCGGCCTTGAGGGTGACCGATCAGAACTCTGCATATCACACACATTCTCGTAAAGTTGCTCAATGCAGGTATCAGCCTGAATCGTCCCATCATCGGGGCGATCCACAGATTCTGCACCACGAGGGCTTCGGGGACTCGTACTCTTAGCTGATTTATTCATAACCACATTCTCCTCAATACACGACGAAGTCCTATCGACTTCATCCATAACTTCTTTAATCTCATCCATAACAAGAACAGGCATCGTTCCGCACCGACGCCCCGAAAAACCCTAAACTTATCTAGCTGATCCTATCAAACAGTTCAAAATCAGATCCCAGAAAGGGAAAAGCTAAAAAAAATTATACCATACCCAATCATTCAGCGCATTCACAGAACCAAAACCAACTAAAGACAGTACCAAAAACATCATAATAACATCAAAAACTCAACCTTTTAAACTCATCATAGCAATTTCTCCCTAATTCATCACCATACATATAACAAGAGAAGTCAATGGTCCTCAAGCAGATCTTCAAGACTCAAATCCACCCAATTATCCATTAAATTCATCAACAAAAAAGGAAACCAATCATGCAAATCAACATAAAAAGGAAAGAAACGGAAACCCCACAATCAACATCACAAAGTAAAGAGCTGATAATACCTCAGCATTACAGCAATGGAGAAACTGATAAACAAGGTGATACCTTTAGCGGGGAAAAGGGGTTTGTCTATACAAAAGAGAAAGAGGGCACCTCTAGGATGCCTGGTATAAATAAAGCCTGTGCCTGGAGAAAGAAGAAGCAGAAGAGGGACAAAAAATGACAAAATGGGTCGGAACCAAGGGCATAAAAACAGTAGGAGAGTTGATAATGGTCCCTGGAATTTTTGAAATTGGGCGATAATGCCCTTCAGGGGAGCTGGGATTTGAAAGCCCTTTTGACTTGCAATGGTTTGTGGGTGGAATGTTAGCATTGTGTATGGACAAAGTGTCATAATCCTGAAACTTACTTCCCTTCTCTTGCACTTGAAATTTACTTTCAGCAAACTTGTGTTTTATTTTTCTGCAGTTTTTTGTTTTAAAGTTAAGCAACCCAGATGTGTTTCACAGCTAAAATATGAAACATACTTTTTTTTTTCTTAATTAAAAATAATTTTCAAATTATATTGATTTTCGAGTCTAATGTTATAAGTGATATTATTTTAGGTTATCGATCCAAAACGGTCGTTAAAAAATTATTAAATGATATTTGTCACATTTTTGTAATTTTAAAATTTTTATTTAAAAAAATAAATAAATATTATTATTATTATATTTAAAAAGTCTTAAACTTTTTTTATTTTACACAAAATACCCCATAATTCATAAAATATCTTATTCTAATCCCTCTACTCCGATCGTCAGCCATCTCTGATCATCCATCCATCGTTTGAACGATCATCCATTCGTTGTCGGCCACCTAATGATCGACCATCACCATTATTATCATCTCAAATCTCAAAATTTTCAAATCCTTCTTCAACTAGGCCTGTAAACGAACCGAACGAACATGAACATACCTCCGTTAATTTTTGTTCATAAACGAATAAAAAAATTTTGTTCATGTTCGTTCATTAAGGAATATAGCTTGTTCATGTTTATTTAAATAATAAACAAACATAAACGAACGAATAAACATAAACGAACAACACAAAAAAAACTTATTCGAACACAACAAATGAATGTAAAAAAGTAAACAACAAGAATAACAACTTAAAATTCATTAATATAACCTACAACTTTAGAGTTAATTTGTTCGAATACGACAAAACATACATAAATCATAAATAAACTATATGAACATATAAAGTCTTAAAGTTAATTTGTTCAACAAACAATCTTCTTGAAATCCAAACAACTTCAATATCTTCGTAACATATTCAACTTGCCCTTTGTTCGAACATAAATGAACGAACATAAATGAACATAAATGAACGAACATAAACGAACATATAATCGAACGTTCACGAACGTAAATGAACGAACGAGTCATATGTTCATGTTCGTTCATTTAATTAAACAAACGCAAAATCTTGTTCATGTTCGTATAAATGAACATAAATAAACTTCCCGCCGCACGGTTCATGAATGATTCGCTAAACGTTCAGTTCATTTACGTGTCTAACTTAAACCCATAATCCCTAAATTCCAAAATATCTAATCCCTAAAATTTAATAACCCTTTGAAAACTTAAAAGTCCTAATCCCAAATTAGCATTGGAAATTTAAAGGGGAACGAAGGGTGTTGGGGGACGAACAATGAGAGAGAATTATTTTAAATAAAAAAAAAATTATTAAAACATGACATGTGTCATTTAACGAGAATTTTTAGTTGTCGTTACGATTAGAGTATCTAAAATAGTAACGTTTGTAATATTAGACATCCTGATAAATTGGAAAAAAATTAAGTATCTATTTGAAAATACGGTATAATTTGATTTTTTTAATTAAACCTTTTTCTAACAAATTTAATATCTTTAAATTTAATATATCTAAAAAGTAATATTTTTAATCACTAAAACCAATTAAAGAATTTAAATACTTTATTATGTTAAGTTTAATTATTTATTGTTAGTCCTTTTATATATATATATATATGCTTTTTTTCACTTCCATGGCAGAAAAGAATTGTGATTAGGGAGGGGCATGAACCTAGGTCAGATTGTTTTGATTTAACTTGATTTTTAAAATTTAATGTTATAAAATTTAAATTGTGATTTATTAGAGTAATTTTTTTTAAAAGATAATATTAGATTAATTTAATTTTAGAATAAAAAAACTTTCAATATATTTCGATTTGAAAAAATAATATAATTTTAATTAGATATTTTGACATTAAAAAATTAACATAACTATTTTACGTGTGACATTTTTTAATTTTTTCAATGATATAATATTATTTTATAATAACATACCAACATCACCTTTTAAATTTTTAACGACGAAATACTAAAATGAAATATAAATTGAATATTAAATATAATAAAAAAATAAAGTTTAACTATTAAGACAAAACTAAAGTAATAGTTTATATACTAAACATGTCGTTCGAATACGTAAATAAATCAAAATCAATATAAGATATATTAAAAACAAATAAAAAATTTCATAAATATATTTATCTTAAATATGATTTAAACATGAAAAAAGAATACAAACACAACACATAAGCAACTCAATCACAAAACCATAGCAGCAAGGAGCGAAATCCAGAGCTAGTGGCATCGAGGCGTTGCCTCAGTCTTACAAACAGGGCAAGTATTTTTGTGCATCAACCACTGCTTTATACATCCGATGTGGAAACTGTGTCCGCAACATAGCTTTCCCATCTCTCCGTCGTCGTCGTCGTCCTCCTATCCCGATCATTTCTAGCATAAATAATCAGATAAAGATAACGGAACATATACACGATTCAATCATCAAACTCACCTGGCAAATGCTGCACTTGATTCCCATAATCGACCCCTTCATCTTTCTCAGGCATCTGCTCATCTCGTCTTCTTTCAATCCCGTGCTGACGTAACCGATTTTATCGCCGAGCTCCAGTAGTTGCTGTTTTGGAAGCAGGGAAAACGATGTTTGTTTCTTTAAAGAAACGGGATCATACGGTTTAACGAGACCAAGACGGCAACATAACATACCTCGTACGACATGCTATCGATATCAAGCCTCCAGTCGCTGAATCGATCGCGTGCCCCCATTATCAAGTTGTTCTGTAGCACCATCATCTACACTAGATATAACCATTTTCTTAACACGATTCATAGCATACATTGTGCTAGTAAGAGAATATCAGGATAGTAGTAAACTCGTTAGAATGAAAAGCTGTGCACTTGAAACAACTAACAATACTGCACAAACGATATTCGCTCGAAATCCGTATAGCAGCCACACGAAAATACGGACAGTACCTCAGCTAGCCCCTCCGGAGAAGGATGCCGAGCATGACGATAGTATCTAGCTCCAAAGAAATCGGGTTTTGGACGCGACGAGAAGAAGGCCGAACCAGAATCAAGAGAGGAGAGCGTTTCGGGATTTACAGGCCGCCTCGCTTTGAAAGAAGGCTGTCAACATATGTGAAACAAAATCAGCTAACATAATCACAAAGTTATGCCATAAATTATATTGTAGAACACTGATCGTGCTGAAAGAAGGAAACAAAACCATTTACATTAACATTCACATGCTTATCAAAAGTTCTCCATAACCATCTCCTAATCTAATAGGGTCCAATCACAGGCATTTCATCCAAAGATATATGCTTTGCTTCAAATACAAAGAAGGAACCAACTTCATGCAAAGAATTTATTTTTTTTATTAAAATGGGGTGATTAAACAAATAGCGATCCTCTATTGGAATAGTGGCCGTTATATAGCGGTTTTGGTGTCGTCCGAAACCGTTATTGCACGACCGCGATACCAGCAATTACCACAACAGCACATATTATATCTGCAATATAAACTTAACGCAGCCGCAATTGTAATTTAAATCCCTAATAGTATATGTTCATATTTTTTTTAGTCATTGACAACGGCACACTCTCTGCAATACAACTAACCGAATCTGAAGCCTTTAGGAAAATTAACTCTACCTTTTATCATTGAGGTCATTCAATGCGTAGAATGTAAAGAATTTGTGAATGGCCAAAAAGTGTTATCTAGTTAGGCATTCTCATAAGTGAAGCAACAACATGCTAAAGATGAAAGCATCCACCTAACAAGGATGAACACAACTAGGAATCAAACATGGAAACAAATAGGAACAGAGATAGACCTAATCTTGGAGCCACATCCAGATCAAAACTCATGAAATAACATTACACATCATAAAAGGATGATGAAAGGGGATAAAAATGGATATACCTCCCTGTGGTTGACCTTTTCAAGGTCAATCTTCCCTCTGGCAGGCACATTTCTCCTAGCCACAACACGATCCACAGAGCCGACAGCATCAGCCGACAGCCCAATTCCAGGCCCGCACCAGACATCCTGAACCACTCCACAGCTCATGTTGTACCCACCCCCTTCATTCAAAACCACACCTTGATGGTGGTGGTGCATCTTATTGCTTCTCTTCTTCTTCTTCTTCTTTACTTTCTTGGCTTCCCAGTCGGCCGACGAGCGTATCAGGGCGGGCACCGAAACCTGCTGCGACGCAGATGCGGCGCAGCCGAGTCCTCTGAGAGAGGACTGGCTAAAAGGGTTGCCTTTCTTCTTGCTTATTTCGTTGTTGGTAGATTTAGGACGAGTGGAGTGGATTAGGGATGGGATTTCCGACACTGGGTCTGGATTGGTTTCGCTTCTGGTCGGCCTTCTCAGTTTCAGACGTTCCGCCATTGTTGAAGAAGAAGCAGAGGTGTCTGTAAGAAAAAACAATGGCATGGCCTATTATTTGATGAAAAAAAAGCACCGGACTTTTGGATTAGAGGTTGAAGATATTGCAGCCCAATTTATTTATTTATTGAGAATCATTTTATAATAGCTATAAGATTGTCTTCTTTTTGGAATTTGTAGGGATTTAGTTTGCAAACAGAGTCCATTGGAATCTGTAAAATGTAAGCAAAGCTTTGCTTTTTAGGTTACGAGAGAGGGAACAGAGTCCTCAACAAGTCAGAGATGGGAGGGGCCTACAGAGAACAATCAAAAGGTTAAAGAAGATTAAAGGCTTAATTACACTTTTAGGTGCCTCAAGTATATTTTAAATTAATTTTTATTGTCTAAAGAATTTTTTTTTTGTTAAAAATAGGTATCTAACATTTTTTCTGTTACACTTTTAGGTGCATATCATTATTTTTTTTATACTTTTTAATAATAAAATAATTTTAAAAAAAAATTCAAAAAAAACTCGCAATATCCCTCTCCTCTCATCCCCTACCTCCGACGACGAAGGGTCACCACCGACTGAATTGTGTTTCTTTGGAGCAGGACGAGGAACTCAATGGTGGCAGCCTTGTAACGTACGATCAGTTATAGTCATCGGAATCATCAGAAAAACAACGAAGGAAAACTTAGAAAACCGACGACCCTTCACGGCGTTTTTCATGACGATCGGTGTAATTTCATGATGGTGGGGGACTGGGTTTTGGTCACGGCGGCGAGACAATTTGATGGTATCAACAGTGATGACCACGGACCGACAGTGATTGATAGACGATGGGATTTTGGGATTTTTTAATTATAATATTAAATCTTTTTAAAATAATTTTTTTAAATTCTATATGTGTGACAAGTGTCAAATAACGTTCAAATATAACGATCATTACGATTCATGCACATAAAAGTATAATGTTGGAAATGTTAGAAATTTATTTTTAACGAAAAATTCTTTAAACACTAAAAGTAAGTTTGAAGTATAATTTAGGTACCTAAAAGTGTATTATACCAAGATTAAATAAAGATGAAAATGGAGTAATCACAGCAGATGATTAGGCCAAATAGCACAGCAGCAATTAGGCATTGTCTTCAGTGGAAAGCATCCAATCTCTAGCAGTATCTCCTTCTTCCTTTAATCACGCTTTTGATTTCAGCACCCATCAAGCAGAGTATATAACCAATATTTGTGAGGATAAATTACACAAATGATCCTCTATTATAAGACGTTATTTTTTAAAATTTTCTCATTGCTAAAAATTAAGAAATTGATATTTGATTATAGGATGTTGTTTTGTTTAGTTACCGATTATTAAAAGTTATAAAATGACAACTATTTGTATGTTTCAAACTAGTCCTTTATCTTTAAAAAATTGATGGATGTTTGAGCTAGATGTTAATATATTAACTAGGATATGATAAAATTATATTTTAATGATGTCTACTAGCACTGACTCGACAACATAATGTTTCAAATATTGGCTCAACGATAATGTAAACAAAGAGTTGATCTATAAAATACAACTCAAACGATTTCGATATTAGATTTCATTATATCTCAACCAATAGGTTAACATCTAACTTAAACGACTATCGATTTTTTTAACGAAAAATGATGAATTTAAGACATAAAATGTTTGGTTGACCATTTTGTACCTTTTAATAATTGGGGGACTCAACAAAACAATGTCCTACAGTCGATAATCATTTTATAATTGTTAATAGTTGAAGACTTAACAAAATAGAGTTCTATAATTAAACGACTATTTTATAACTTTTAATAGTCAGAATATTCAATAAACTAACGTCCTATAATCGATAGATCCGTCATGTACTTTACCCAATATTTCCTAATACATTGGCCAACTAATTTTACCAGCAGCAAGTGGAGCGGCCCAATAGGTTTTAGCATATTGGTGAGAGAAAATAACCCATAAGCTTGCTTATGAATAGGATTCTCCACCCACCTCCTGGGCTATAGTAAAATTTTACGTTAAAAAATAAATTTTAAAATAATTATAAAGTTTTAATAGTATGAAAATGAATTTATTCTAAAAAATATTATATATATATATATATTCTTTAAGAAAACAATAGCTTTGCCGGTCCCTCGGTCCATTTCTGTGCGTCAGTGTCTTATTTGTGCAGTGCAATGGTATGGACACCATCAATGCATTAATTATATACGAAAAACCAACACTAATTAATGGCAATTTTATCCAAATATCACAACAACTAAAAATAAAAAATACCATTATAACATCCTTTCTCGAATATGTATCAAATTAACATATTTTCTGATAAAATAAGAAGAGTGTGTGTTTCACGGAGCGAGATTTCAAAGGGTTTTATTGATGTAGATGAAATGAGCGTTTCAGGAGACGAGCTCTCCAGAGATTTTGTTGATGTGGATGAAAGGCACATTTTAGGCAGGAGCATGGTTGAGATGGCGCACAGTGCGCGTGTAACATCCCAATAACCGGGTCAGTGACTAAAATATAAATTTTGGAAACTTGGTGCTCAATTTTCGAAACAAGTAAAAAGTTCAGGCATTTAATTGTAATTTCTTTGTGTAGCATTAAATGATAAAGAAAGAAGAATGAAAGGGCAAAATGGTCATTTGATCATTAAAAGAATTAAAAAAATTGGTATTAGGTATGTTAAATACACGTGGATTGAAGGAAGGAAATATCAAAGCCTCTAGGGTGTTCTTCTTCTTTCGTCGTGGTGTCAAGAGCAAATGTTAGTTTCTTTATTGGTTTATTTCTTGTTAAATTTAAGATTGATTTATGATCATTAGACAATAATTAAGCTTAAGGAAAACTTAATTTGTCTTAAAACAACAAGATGAAAGGTATAGGAAGGATTAAAGAAAAGAAGTGGAAAAGTGAAATCTTGATAGGAAGTATTGATTAAAATTGGAAGTTTAATTTGACTTGTCATCAACCTAATTAACATGTATGAAGTGTTAGAATTGGAATCAGAACATGTTGTCAAGATGGTGTAATTCTTGAATTTCGTAGGGAATATAGGATTTTGAGGTTAAAGATGTGACAAATGAGTATTAATGCGTTTAAGTATGAGTAGGTGAGTTAAGGATATAAAAGGGGTTGAAATATGAAGTGTTTGAGATGAAATGAAGTAATTTTCGTGTTGAAAATGTAATTTCTGGGTTTTGTGCATCGATACACATTCAATGGGTATCGATGCACTCTCAACGGAATAAAAACATCGAATGCGATTAGAGCATCGATACACCCCTTAAGATGAAAACATCGTATGTAATTTGTGCACCGATGCATAGGTAGTGCATCGATGCACACATTAAGGGATGCATCGATGCACACATTAAGGGATGCATCGATGCACACATTAAGGGATGCATCGATACACTATAGAGTGCATCGATACCTATCTTAAGTAAGAGATGAAAGTAGCCTTTCTTTTAGTCTAAGAAGTGATAGATTAGAATATATCAATTAGTATACTGACATGTATCAATGTATTACTATGTAGATATAGAACGTAATCCTATTCCGGAACAATCAAAGGACTAGGATCGATTTAAAGGAAACAAGACTTAGGTGAATGCATACTCTTAGAATATATGTATTTCTACATGGAAACCAGACTTGTGATAAGTCTGTTTCAATATTTTGAATATATGATAGTATGATTCAAAGCATGATTAGGATTGTGTAATATGTGAATATGCTTTGCTTGTACTACATGTTATGTGATCTGCATTTATATTATATGTAGTATATGATAATGATATAGGAAACATTACAAGAATGTTACCTGAGCTACTTGATATAAGTTATAAAATTATATGCATATGTAATATAAATTATAAGATGAGAAAATAGGTGTTGATATATATATGAGAAAATATAAGAATGAGAAATAAGTCATGTGATATGTGAATATGAAAATGATCTATGTGTATATGTGATATATATATATATATATATGATATACGGGAAACATATGTGAACAAGAGATGAAAATGATTTACATGTTATATGAACACATGGGAAGTATTATAAGATAAGTAACATATGAATATGAAATCATATGAACAGTGATATATATATGTGAATATGTGAAATGATAAATAAGAATGCCCATGTTATATGTTATGAGGGCTAGAGGTATAGTTGGCATACCAAGAGTCGAGGGTTCATAGGTCATTCGAGACATACAGAGGTCATTCGGGACATACATAGGTCCTTCGGGACAAATTTCATATGCCACTTAGTGGGACTTATACGAGCTGTGGTGACAGTATAGTGCACAACCTTAGTGTACTCGTATATCTATAGTTCTCACATGTGTACATGGGCTAATAAAGATATAATAAGTAAACTTGAGATGATTGTTATATTTGATTGAGCACTTGAATATGAGTACGTTGGTTGCATGTATTTCATATGTTATATTATTTATGTGGAAACATGTTTGTGTGATATATTTGAATATAAGAGAATAAAATGAACTTATATGATATGTTACAAGTAATTACATGAAAAATATTGTGAACTCCATAAGTATAGGTATATGTAAGGAAATGATGAACTATAGGATTATATAGATATAATAATTATGATTATACTACGAGAATATAATTTGGGAAAGAAATCGTATAATGGAATTATATCAGAATAGAGATAAAAGAAATAGGATATCAAATAGGAAACATGTATAAGAATAAGAATAAGAATATATGAGTTAATTTGTAAAAGAAGGGCTATATGGTTCAATGAAATTATGATATAAAACCTGTTAAATTCTTAGTTGATATGAAATATAGTACAAGGATCTAGGAAAGGAAGTCATATGAAAATTTCATAGGAATTAAATTATGGAAAGTGAATAAAATATATTGTCTATGACAAATTAGATGAGAAATGAACTAAACATATAACAAGAATTTATGGGTTATATGATAAATAAGAGCACCTGGAAATAAGAGATAAATTATGTAAATTTGGGATAGAAATTATATGATTAAGAATTTTATAAAAGAAAGGATTTAAATGATAATAGGAAAAATGTGATATAAACTGAGT